CGCCACGCGTCCTACGCGCTGCCGCGTCGCTCGTTGCTCGTTGCTCCGACGAGCGGATGCACCGTACAGCCTCGTGAAAATCCACGACAAGTGCGTACGTATATACTATGTGTATATATACGTACGTACATTGAACGACGCGTACAAACGAAGGCCGCGAGAGTGCAGAGACCTCTCGCCTTCGCGTCGCGTCGCGCCGACCGCGACGAGGATGCTGGCTAAACGTAGCTACGTGACTTCTGCCCGACGCGACCGGAGGCGGGAGAACATTACGAAGCGAATTACACGGCGCATCGGAAAAGAATTCGCGCGACTTTCTCGGAGTTTTACTGCAAAAGAGATTATGAGTTATCGTATACGGTATAAAGTGTAATAATACCGCCAACCCGCGTGGAATGCCGTTCACGGTACCACGAGATTACGTGTATAAGGCGTCGTTTGCAGTTTCCTGCACGCGTTTTCGCGACGCCGTGCCGACGAGAAATGTATCATTATCTTTTATATTCGAGAGAAACTAAGCGCCGTGAATACTTATAAATTTAACAAATCATTTTAATGCTCGAATAGCGTAGCGTTATAGCTTATAATATCTACTTTTCAGTCCACACACATTTTTTTAAAGTTTTTAATATACCAAATCTGTCATACATTTTGTTGTTTAAATAGAACGTTTGTAATTATAAATTAGACACTTGTGGTATTTTCTACCATTCATTGATGTTGTTACATTGTTGTATAATTATGTGGAATATTATAATATTAAATTTGATTCATTTTAACGTTTAACATTCGGAGCATTTAACTTGAATGGAATTCCAATCTCGACCGTTGGAATGTCATAAATACATTGCATTTTGAGAATTCGCGAAGAATATGTCGAAAGAAAAACGAAATGAGGCACATCTATTTACAAAGCGTTCGTTTATCCCGCAGGAAATTCGCCGGGTATCAAGGACGCTGTAAAGGGTTCTGCAAGCCAGAAGAGACGGCGATGCTCTTTGAACAAAGCATTCTATAAAGAGCGTTTGTCAAAGTCATTCTAAAATTATATTCCAATCACGTTTGGAAATAAAATAAACTCTTATAAAGCAAAATATATATGCATTGAAAAAGAAAAAGCTCAATTTCAAAGAAATATCTCTTTGCTCGTATTAAAAAAAAAAATTACTTCTTTGGACCAATACAAATTTCTTTAAAAATAAGATATTCTACTTTCAAAGAAATAATTTTTTTTAATACGAGAGTAAAGAGATATTTCTTTGAAATTAAGTTTTTTTTTTCGATGTGATATATTTCGAAAGATAATATTTTTTTTTGCAACGAATGCGTGAATCAAAATCATTGCGTGGTTAGAGAAGAGAGAAATTTGTATATATTTAAAACACTATATGACATACGTGTCATGTTCGGGCGGAAAGAAAAATACGTCGCAGTCCTTTGTCATGTTTTTTTTTGCATAGCATAGTTTGCATTTTAGTATAATTATTTATAAAATAATAAAACAGATCCACGCATTTCGCGAAATTGAAAAGAGTAGGAGTGTGACATGCAAATTTCCAAACCACTCCAAAGTTTTATCTTACTCTAAATCGAGACAATCGTTCGCGTTAAGAACGAATGTTATTAAGCCAGTTTAATGGAATCTCGAGCATAGTTTCGAATAAATCTCTTAGGCGTTTAATAAAGAATTTGGAGCACGAGGCGGTATAGAGCGAGAGAGGAGGTGGCGTGTCCTACTCGGCGCCGCCGACAATGATAACGAAACACGACAGCTCCGGCTGTTACGTGCCTCCTCGAGAAAATATCGCATCGTAATTCCGATGCCCTACCATTGAAATTTTAATTTTGTATATCATGCTAACGACACGCGCGTGTTTTTGTACTCGCGTTGTAGCTCGCGTTGAATACTTTTTCGTTGGATATTTTCTTACGATCATATGTATATGTACGCTTCAATTATTTTTATTAAGATTTTATTATATCCGGCATTCGCGAATGCTCGATGAAAATTTTATCAGATTAACGTTATTGTATCATCGGCGATATTCATTGATAAAAAAACGCCAACGGAGATTGATCTATTATTTTTTTCAGTAAAAATTAAGTTTACAATAATTAAAATTGATTGCTGTAAACTGTAAAGCATGTTAACATCGGTGCATTTCGACACGAATTTATTCCGTCAAATGTGTACGTTGGCATGCAAATAATTAATTTACTTGACTGTGAGAATAAATTACGAGTACGTACGATTCTCGCTTCACTGTACGATGACGCGGATCAAAAGACACGGAGAAAGAACTATGAAAGGAAAGCGCGTACTCTGAACGCGATGAGCACGCGAGCTTCGCGTTCACCAGGGAACTTCGCTAGAGAATTCGGAATATAGGGCTGCAGCCTCGCGCGAGAGGCATCTCATTCGACACCACAGACGGTAATAACGAGAGCTCGACGGCGCGAGGTTACGTGCTTCCTCCAGAGAATATTAATCCGTAATGCTGAACTCGGTCTGTTGAATCTTCCAGCTCCCTATATCAGATGCTACGAAGGAAAGCGGCTACGGAGGAAAGCTCGGTAGACAGTGAACCTCGTGAAACAGAAACTTTTGCGGCAATCAAAGTATCGCTGGCCCGTTTGTGGCCACTTCGGTGAAATTTGTCTTGCGATGTCTTTATTATTCCATTTTCGATGTCTATATTTTTTCAAAAAAAAAAAAAAAAAAAAAAAAAAAAAAAAAAAAAAAAAAAAAAAAAAAAAAAAGAAAGAAAGAAAGAAAGACAAGAAAACGATGTGAGTGCGTGCGAGAATAAATAAATAAATTCGTGAAAAGAGATGCCGTGTAAAAAAAATACTTCAACGATCCTGACGTAAACTATACAGTGCACTTGACTGCACTGACCGAACTCTCTTTGTTTGCTCGTTCGTTCGTTCATTCGTTCGTTCGTTCGTTCGTTCGGATTGTACGGATGCGCTTTTTCATGCACCGACCATACTCGGAGCAGGTGCAGGACCGCGGACAGAAGGGCGAACGACCGAACAAATCCGGTTCGGGATATATATGCACTAGCTTGAACTCCCTTCCTCGTCCGCGTATAATGTGAGACTAGCTTAAACTGGTTGTCGTAATAAGAAGAGAGTTCATTCTTCGTTAATAGGAACGGACGGTGGGAAACAAACTTGAGTGGGAACAAACTTTTACTTTTGATTTACTTAAGAAGAAATTGCCCGGATGAACGAACCCATCGGTCCATTTTCATTTAAACGAGTATTACATTAATTAAACATCTAGTTGTATCAATATTGCCACATCATGTAATAACTCGTATAATCAACATCACATACCTAATTATTCCATTAACTTGATATTAGTTTGTAATAATTTTGTTATTGTTTAAGTAAGGAAAATAGAAGAAAAGAAATGCACACAATCTTCTTCATTCACTATCGTAGAATGCCATATACGTCCATAGAAAGTATATATATGCCATATACGTCCATAATGCCATAATGTCACATGTATACATACCATACGTGCAAAAAGTCTTTTAATATGTTTTAAAAAATCCAAAGAGACCATATCTGTACTCTAAAAGTGATCGAACCACACTGTTTGAAGTAGCAAACCAATGAACCGTGTAAAATTTCGCGTAATTATCCGGAAGTAATACTGTCGGGGAGCGTAACGCCTCCGCAGTCACTGTTAGCTTAATCGAGATGACTTCCTTTTTTAATACCACGTA